TAAAGTTATGAAAATACGCCAAATTAGTACTTTCCATGTCAGAAATGCTGTATTTCTGGGAACTGTTATGGTCTCATTCAAAAAGTCATGAATTATGATTATGCTACTAAATTCAGGGATATAAGTGGTAAATATAACACAAATACTGAATAAGTTATTTCGGTGTGCCACATCACCAGGTGTTAAATTCCAGAAACAAGGTAAAGAAATTGCATTTCTCAGGTATACTCAAACTGAGACTTTACCGGGTATTCAGTGACTTAGATTTAAAGATAAATTTAAATTCATCACTGTGTAAAATAAAGAGAGAAAATGTAAAAAAATAATAATAATAATAAAAAAAATTGTTCTTGGCCTGCAGTGTATGTGTGCATATTGATTGTTTATAATGACTACCTCAAGACATCTGCATGGATACTAAAAACTTTATAACAGTGTTGCTAGTTTGCATATTCAGTGACTGTATGTACTGTAAGTATAACTGCGCAATGTTGCTCAGAGGCTTTCCTGCTACTTTTCATACAGTTGTGGACCTGGCTCTCCTACACAGTCAGTGCTCAGTGACTCCTGCAGGGAAGATCAGTAAGTTCAAGTGCACATTAAGAATGGCTGTGTACCTTGGCCGCACACTGCATTGCTGTGCATACTGGCTGTTTTCTTTACATATTTTACAAATGAGATTGCAGAGTGAATGAATATTGTTTTTTTTGTTTGTTTGTTTTTTTCCATTTTCTTTTTTTTTTGCAACTTTTTTTTTCTGCTGTTGGTGTGCATCCTTGAAAAGCAGTAACACTCAATCGGCATTATTTACTATTTTTACTAAACTATATTACTATTATTTTCTAAATTGGGCAGAACATTTCATAATTATAGTACCGTACAATTCAGGTAAAATTTCATGAAATCCACCACGCAGAAAAGAGGTGCTTCGTGAAAAAATGGATAGAAAAGAGCCAAGGAATTCGACTTGTATCTCGTAATAGAAAACTTGACCCCTTGAGGCGTAAAAGAGAAACCATACACAACCATTTTGATACTCGACATCAGATATAACGCAAATCCAAGGGGTGACGAGCGGCTTGGGGACCCCTAGTTGGGGGGGAGAGGGGAGTTATTTATTTTAATAGCCCCCACCCCCTTTTTTTTTTTAAACAAATTTAGAGTAATTTTTGCAGAAAGCTAGCGAAGCGAGAGACTGTAATTCTCAGGTCAGTTATGTAAAAACTGCAACACAACCGAGATATCCCAGAGAGAGCAATATCTTGGACCAGGCAGACATGCTAAATGAATCTCATGCATAAGATGACAAACGATAAGTCCCAATGTAAGCACCCTGGATAGGAACATAAGCCAGTGCGATGGCAGAATGGAAAAGTTTTAGAGTCCTTCAGAAAATTTTGAAGAATGGAAATTCAAAATGGTGTGGACAAGCTACACCATGAATGCCATGCATCAAGGTAGCTATAACATGTCCCTGGAGCCCCTAGTAGATTCTCAGCTTTTTGCGATATTCCAGAGACCTCCCATCTGAAATATTCCAGGCCACAAACTGCGCCTTCCTTTTAGAATCAGTGGATGAGAATTCCCTTTGAGATTGGTGAGCAGTAGTGGAAAAGTTGAAATTACAAGAGTGTCTCAAATCGACCGTTCTAACAGATCTGGGAACCTTAGTTGGCTGGGCCATAGTGGAGTCACTAAGCGGATGGAAATTTGACTGACTTGTACCTGGTCAATCACCACGGCTATCTTGGCAAATGTGGGTAAAGCATATAATTCAAATTTCAGCCAGTCTTAGAGAAAAGCATGAGTTGATACACTCTGCGGATCCAGAAGCCAGCTGAAGTATTGTAGTACCTGTCTGTTCATCTGAGATGCAAAGAGATCCAGTATGATCAGTCCTCAAAGAATTTACAGTTGTGAAGATATTCCAACTTCCAGTTGCTGGCATCCTTCCAATATCTGGAGAACCAGTACACTGTGCGACTGGATGCCTAAGGAAGGTATTCTGTTTCTTGTTTTCTTTGTCAATTCTGACAACCTCTTGGATCATACTCCTCCCAACCTGTTTATACCACTGTCTGATATGTTGTCCATCCATAGGAGGATGCAACAGTGTGACAAATTCTTGGCCAAATGACCCTGCAATCAACTCAGGACCATCAATGTGTAACTGATTCTGTCCAAACATACACTGTTGACCATTCCACATAGATGGCTCCTCAACCCCAGAGACTGGAGTCTGATTCCAGAATAAAAACTGGCTTTGATTGGAATATTATTCGCTCATTCTAGGCATGCATATGGAGTAACAGCCATCTGAGTTCCGCATACATGTCCTGAGTTAACTGGATGGGCTGATCGTAAGAGGATGAATTTTGAGGTATTCAGGTTTCAAACACTGTGCGCTCTTCGTGCACAAAATGGCACTCACAAAATGGGAGTTCCAATACAGCCACCGGACTGCTGAGGCACGAGAAGGCCAGGAGATCACCAAGCTCCCCTAGAGGTACCCAGAGCAAGCCAGCGCAAAGCGGACCTCCTTGTAAGCAATATGAGAATCATACTATGTTGCACACTAGTGAAAGTAAGCCTAAGAAAAAGGAAAAAAAACAATAAGGGATAAAGAACAATGACAAAAGATGAGGGTAGATAGAACCACATTGACTGGGTGGATAGAGGTTGCGATCAAGCTGTAGTTGTTCTGGTGACTATAGTGTCCCTTTAATTTATGTCAACCCAGCCTCCCTATTTTTTGGGAGGGCTGGAAAAACCAATGTCTGTAAAACCAAAAAACCTAGAGTAGTATAGACAACCCTGAAGTTGGTGGAAGGAACAGCAAAGAAAGAGAAAGTGGATATGGAGGTTTCCCATTTTAAATTACATGTTTTTCTTTTCCCATTGCTCCCTCTGGTTTATAGTTTATATAGACTGATTGATGTATCTGCAGTTGAAGCAGTAAGCAGAGGCATTGCTAAGTTACAGAAAGAAAAGGGACTTTGGCACATCCTGTATATATTGTCTGAAGCCCACCATATACCATGTCCTAAGTCCAACCACAATGTGTTTTATAAATAACATTGTGATTTTTTTTTAATTCATTGTATTAAATTAATCTGTATTAATACAAAACACACCTGTTGAATTAACTCTTCATCCCACTGCATTTTAAACCATGTACAAACAGCAATACACTCACACTGTGCTATATAATGAACTCCAAATATGGTGGTTTAAAGTAGTACTGTTACAAATTATATAATTGTGTTATTTGTCTCATAGTGTTACAGGGACTTGGGGGCTAACGATGAAATGGTGTCAAAATTAGATCCGGGGCTTTTCAGGACAACACTTGGGGCTCCAGCAAACCTGCAATATCTGTGTTTTAGTGATCACCTATATGGTGTGAGTGTAACAGGATGCTTACGTCTCTCTGGCCTAAAGTGTAGATGTTTTGTGTTTTTATTTTCAACACTAGATGGCAGCACACTACTATGACTATTTACTCAGATTACCAAAAATTCTCTTCCAAATTCACAAGTAGTTTGATACTAGATAACAAATGACAAATAATATGCCCATTAGGTTTTGACTTGCCTACTTGTACATTGTTTCCTTATTCTTTTCCAGATTCACATTTAGATACAAAAAGCCTTTAATATGAATGAAACCATAAATTAATAGTTTGTCTTAACAACCGTACAGTGTTCAAATTACTGCATGCACCAATAGCCACAGCACATTACTCAGAGGGAATGGGTGCAATGCATTTCACTGATGTGGCAAATATCATCATTGCATGGCAAAATATTCATTGGAAAACTCAACGGATCTTATACGTATTGCATGATAGAAAACAGTGTGATTATATACTGCTGAAAATATTGTAAAAGCAAAACACAATCTTTGAATTTGGAATATGAGACACCTCTTTTGTGATGGAATTTTGTGCTCAAATGAATGTCGTTTTTATGTAACTGCATAAATAGATTACTGGTGCTCGCTTTGTGCATGTATAAATGTATTTATGCATGTGCTGTGTAATATTATATATGCACATATAATAAATTAGTTAATGTTACAGAACCTGTAATTAATAACAAGTATTATTTAATATTTCATAGCTTGGAAAAATTGGCTAAAAATTATTTTCATGTGTAAATATTGAGTCTTTAATGCATTTTGTATAATGCCATGCCTATTATCTTAAAATTCCTCTTACAGACAGAAGCAACAGATCTGTCACCTGCAGCATGCAATACGAAGCAATGAACTGCGTACCCACCAGGTAATTGGGAATTCTGTGACCAATGGAGAAGGTGGATACTTGCATGGCCTTAAGGTAACTGCACCCAGAACTCACTGCTTTGCTTTAACCTTTGCTGTTCTTCTGTGAGTCTCAGCCTGTCCTCTCAGACAGTGCTGTCCTAAGGGAATCTTTAAGGCTCTTTAGACTCATTTTATAGATCTCAAACACCCCGGAAAAGTGACTGGTTTTATGTTCATTGTACAGTTAATGGTAACCTGAGCTTTGGAGCCCCTGCACAGCACAGTGTCGGTAACACTGTACAGAGAAACACTGTTACTTAAAAAAAGTAATGTATATTAATTACATTTGTTCTCATTTGCCTTAAGGTTTCAGGTCCCCTTAAAATAAATAAATAAAATCGTTATTAATCTTTCATCGCCAGGACAGTCTCCTCACTGCAAATTGTGTGCTCCTGCATGGGTCAGTGTGCGAGCGCGTGTGCGCCCGCATGGGTCAGTGTGCGAGCGCGTGTGCGCCTCCATGGGTCAGTGTGCGAGCGCGTGTGCGCCTGCATGGGTCAGTGTGCGAGCGCGTGTGCGCCTGCATTGGTCAGTGAGCGAGCGCCTGTGCATGGGTCTGCACAAAGTAAAAAGCATAAATTAAAAAAAAATCTATAATTTTTAAATTGTGTGAGAGTATCCTGAAATGTATGTGTATATAAAATATATATATATATATATGTGTGTGTGTGTGTGTGTGTGTGTGTGTGTGTGTGTGTGTATGTGTGTGTATATATATATATATATATATATATATATACATATACGTATACTTTACACACACACATTTTCTCCTACACCCACAAATAATTATTTTTATTTTAAAGGATCACTATAGGGTCAAGAACACAAACCTGTATTCCTGACCCTATAGTGTTAAAACCACTAGCTAGCCCCCCTGGGCCCCTCATGCCTCCATAAATATAGCAAAATCTTACGGTGTTCAAGCCTGAAGCTGTAACTCTGCATGCTGTTTGTCTAAAAAAAAAAAAACAGTCTGCTGACATCATCAGAAATGGTAGCCTGATCCAATCACAATGCTTCCCCATAGGATTAGCTGAGACTGACACAGAGGCAGATCAGGGGCAGAGCCAGCATGATTCAAACACAGCCCTGGTCAATCAGCATCTCCTCATAGAGATGAATTGAATCAATGAATCTCTATGAGGAAAGTTCAGTGTCTGCATGCAGAGGGAGGAGAAACTGAATGTTTGGATGCATTTTAGGCAGCCATGACCCAGGAAGGATCTCTAACAGCTATCGGAGGAGTGGCCAGTGAAGTCATCACTAGGCTGTAATGTAAACACTGCATTTTCTCTGAAAAAAAGACAGTGTTTGCAGCAAAAAGCCTGAAGGGAACTATGATACTCACCAGAACAAATACAATAAGCTGTAGTTGTTCTGGTGACTATAGTGTCCCTTTAATTTATGTCAACCCAGCCTCCCTATTTTTTGGGAGGGCTGGAGTAGATCCTTCCTGAGTCCTCTGTGGCTGCTGTAATCTTCAAGTTCTCTGCTTCCTCACGGACTGTTTAGTGATGCCGGGGCACGTGTGAACATAGGTAGAACTGCAGGAAGATTACTGCTCTCTGTCAGCTACCTCCACTGAAGGGCTGACAAACGCCCAAGTGCAAGGACAACATTTCTAGTCGCTATGGTGACCTGGCACCTGGGATTTGTCGAGCCCTGCATTAAGGACAGAGGCAACTGTCCAACTTCTGAACCAAATCAAAATGTAGAATTTGTGCTGTGTGTTTGTTCCACCATAATTTAAGGATTTCTCCTTTTGTGCACCAATGCATTTTATATATTGGGGTGTTTGAAGTGCGGAAATGGGTTCTTTTAACATCATATATGTATGACTACCACAACATTAAATATGAATAAAATGTTAAAAACTAGTGGGGAAAACAACACTTTTATTTTTATTTTTTATATAGTTTTTAGACATCAAATACAATTAGAGAAAAAGAACACCAAATAGATTAATTTATCACTCCTGATTGTTAAATGCCACAAATGAACGGTGTTCCATGCCATCTTAATGGCATTAAACCCACTATTGTTAGGAAGGCATGAAACGTCCTAACATCGTGAAGGGAGTAAATAAGTAAATATTTTGTTGTTTTGCTTTAGGAATCAGGGAACACTTGCATGCTGCTAATGTTGTTGAGTTGCATTGAAGACTGACGCATGGGGCTTCCATTTGATATATTGATTAAATGTGTTTGTCACAGAATTCTTAGAGATTTGTTTTGTTCTTTGAAGGGTTCACTTTGTGAAAGCAAATCTATTCAGAAGACTACTCCAGACAGAACAAAGCCTCTTCAAAGAGACAGAGAAGACCTTGAAAATAAACTTGCATATGATAGTGAGTTTTCTCAACTTGGGGAAGTCCTGAAGCAGAGTGCCGGCAAATCCAGTGAAGACATCAAGAAGTTGGAAGAGAAGGTGATCAATTTCATTCATTTCATATTCTCATGCATAATACTACACTTATGAAGGCTTCATGGGACAGTAGTCTTCTGCCCACCAAGATTCCAGATATAAAAGCAGCTTGTATGCCTTTAACTTCAATGTTGGCATATCCCACTGTGCCTTAATAAAAGAAAAGAAGCAGAATATTCTTTAAAAAGTGTATCTGTGGTAATACGGCATTCCAGGAATCTGGCTGTTAGGATAAGCTAAAATTGCCTGCTCTGAATGGAGATCTTGATTACAATAACTCTTACTATAGAGTTCTGAACAACTGATGAGAAGAACTGATTATCAAAAAAAAAAAAAAAAAGTATGCCTTTTTATAGAAAATCAGTTATCCTGTTCAAATTCTACCATTTTATGTCGCTTAGATGACTGTTGTGTGTTACAATTGAAAAGGTAATTTAAGAGAGAAAAAAAGATAAAAAAACTACTGGATTTTTTTTTAAGTCTTTCAATGCAGGATATAGATTATGCAATAAAAATTAGAAGTACACATTGTTTCTTGCATCAGTATCAATGTTGGCTGGACACATAGACTCAACCGAGCAAAACGTGACTTAACGTGGTCAGCCAATTTCTTTCATAAAGAACTGCGTATATGTAAATTATTAAAAAGTTCCAGGTTCCGAACACTATTTAAACATTTTTTTTTTTTTTAACTAGTATTTTATTTAGTCAATAGCAAAATATATATTTACAGTGGTTTTCACCTTTAGTATTTTATAAAGAAAGAAATGGATCTGTAAATATAGTTCCATTTGATATTGTGAGAATAGTGTGAAAAAGATATATACCATAGTATTAGAAAGCTATCCCTTAATTATTTAGACAATTAATTAAAATGTTAAACTACTTCCTATACAGGATAAATACCCCATCTGTTCGGAAATAATATACACATAGAAAAAGAGATCTCTCACTAACAGCTTTGTTTCATTATACCACAGAGAGAGGCCACATACTATATTGTATAAAGGAAGCCAAATAACTGTATCTATCGTATGCCATTTTAGTGAGTCACTGTGCAGAAGGATCAATCAGTTGTTCCTAAAGGAGAATGTAATGATACCAGATTTTAACTATATATTTAGGCTGCTAGAGTAGGACCTGCCAAGAATGGGGTACATTGACGTTGTGGCAGGCTTATGCAATATATGATCAGAAAATTTGTTAATAAACCCCCATTATTTTTGCCTAGGTGAGGTGTTTTTAAATAAAACTATTATAATCTCTAAGATTTGAAATCATTGTTTGGTGAATAAGTGAGTGCGCTGGATTTTGTATTTTTTATGTATATAGCGAGGCTGAACCGCTTATTGCCGCAGCAATAATGAACAGCTAAATATTAATAAGTCATGACTGAAGAAATAGTCCATATAGTAATATCAATGGAACTAAAAGCAGTGATGAATTATATGTAAAAGATTGGTCACGTTCTGCATGCTGCAGATATACTAGGAGCCTATCGCCTAAATGGTGCACACCACCTCAAATAAAGTAAACAGAAGCCACTCAAAGAGGAGCTTGTAAGATCTATTGTTTCAGAAGATACTATAGTAACACTTTAAATAATGTTTTTTTTTACTTACATCTATGTCATCTACCTGGTTTATACCAAAACTCCTAGAGTAAAGCATTATAGCTTGTATTGGGAATAGCCTCCCATACCTTACAGGTAAAAAGTCCCAGGGACCTACAATCCTAAATATTGAACCTAACAAAGATCCACTGTCTGAATAAGCCGAGAACCGTAAAGGGAAGAGATTACATTAAAGTGCCATAAGATATCCATAAGTGCAAAAGTGAACCCACGTTTTCTCAGGTGTAGGAAAGTGCACAAGACAATATAGTCTCTACTCTGCCCTTTGTCCTATATCTTCTGAGTGGGTTGGAATTTCAATAACATCCCAATACAGTTAATGTGAGTATTATGTCAAGATTAAAGATTGCAACAATGTTAATTGTGTCCAACAAGAAAGTTGCTAGTAGTGCAAAACATGTTTTCCTTGGTTTGTACAGTAGTTTTCATGTTGAAGATATATCGCCTTTCTTTCTTCAAAGTCAATGCTTGATTTGTATCTGTGTAACATATTGCGGTAGTGTGTACACACTTTCTACCCAGACAACGTTGATACACACCCCACAAATCTGTAACCAGCAGCATACTGACATAATGCAAATATTTTGAATGTTGTGTATTTAGATCAAAACCAGAGACAAGTATATCAGCAGCCTAAGAAAGAAATGCCAGAAAGAGAATGAACAGAACCGGGAGAAGCAGAGGCGGATTGAAACCTTGGAGAAATATCTTGCTGATCTCCCTACACTTGATGATGTGCATAAGCAGACTGAAAGGGTACGTTTTCATGTGCCCCCTGTATAAGTGTGGATTTCTGATTGTTGATGACTGTGAAATAATATTTGCGATTTGCTATGTATTTGCTTCATTGTAATGGTTTAAAATGCTAATCTGGTTTTCTTCTGTGTCTGTTTCTGTGTTGGTTATATCTGTTCTTTTTCTTGCCAGTTTTTTTTTTTTTTTTTGTTCAGCTGTACAATTTGATGTAATACCACCTTGTATCATCTGATTTTTGCTGTGCTACAGGCAGAAGTGCTCAAACACTAAAGGGTGCTCAAAAGCTATTGCCATTCTAAACAACCCTGCTTTAATTTAGTTTGGTTCTATGAAGTACACGTGTTATCCACACACAAGTGGATGAGTAGCTCTGCTTCATGTAAAGGATAATGTTTCATCTCTGCATTGTGATAGCCTAATCTCTTGTCAGTAGATTGTTCAATCAATATGTTTTCATGTAATGTTTTCTGTTCCAGTGGAAAGTAAGCTCATCCCATCACCAATAGTGCTTTTATATTTCTGTATAAATGGCTTGAAAATGTTCTCAGATCAACATAAAACATAATTTCACTACCAAAAGATAAGATAAAATATTAAAGGGACACTGTAGTAACCAGAACTACAGTTTAAGTCCCTGCAGGCACTTTCATGCAAACACTGTTATTATTATTATTAATAATAATAATGTCTATTATTATTATTAATAATGTCTTTTCAGGCAGTGTTTATATTACAGCCTAGGGACACCTCCAGTGGCCATTTCCCAGATGGTTACTGGAGGTGCTTCCTGGTGCAGTGCTGCACAGAATGCTGAACTTTCCTTATAGAGATACATTGATTCAATGCATCTCAATGAGGAGATGCTGAATTTCCTGGCTGGCGTTTGCCCCCACACTTTCTTACGGGAAAGTATTGGATTGAGTGAGATCATCACTTCTGATGTCTGCAAAA